CTGCAGGTGCCACCTCATCCCATCCCCCACCCCAGTGACCTCACACTGCTGCAGGTACCACCCCATCCCATCCCCCGCCCCCAGTGACCTCACACTGCTGCAGGTACCGCCCCCATCCCATCCCCCACCCCAAGTGTGGTCTTTTACCCATCAGTATGGCCTAGAAGCAATATTTTTTGTTTTACTGCCATGATGTCTATTTCTTTTCCCTTTAGTTCAACCTTCATATTTATCTTCATCCTTCACCCTTGCTATGTCACAGCTGGCGAAGCCTGCGAAGCTGAATAAATTTGTGAATACCATCCCCCTGCCTAAAACTGGTGAAACGGTGGAGCCCGGGATGGTGTGTAGTGTGGCCGGCTGGGGTCTCACCATCGCTAACGATATTTCGTCTGCTGCCAACGCGCTGCGGGAGGTGGACGTGGAGGTGCTGGAGGATGACGAGTGCTCATATGGTGATAACTACGACCCGGCGACCATGCTGTGTGTGGGGCACCCACAGAAGTGCAGAGATTCTGCAAAGGTAAATCTGCCCCTGGCTTGAAGCTCTTCGTGCATCACTGCTCTGTGGGAGGGTGTCAGTGATCGGGCTGAGACAAGTGGCCTGGGCTTGTCAGGGGCCAAGGAGGGGGTGGGTGGCATCGGGGTGTCCCTGAGCTGGTGAGCAGCGGGGAAATGACTCCCTGAGCTGTTTTCCATCCCTGGCCTGTTTTGTTCTGCAGGGCGACTCCGGTGGCCCCCTGGTGTGTGATGGAAAACCCCAGGGCATCGTCTCCTGGGGGACCAAGGATGGGACTCCCCCGGGCGTGTACACGAGAGTCTCCACTTTCATCCGTTGGATCCAGGATAAAATGCGTCGGCCGCAGCCCTAAACCCCACCAAGGGTCCCTGCACAGCCCGGCTCTGCCTCGCTCCTGTGCCTTGGAGAGGCCCAGGTGTCAGGCCTGCTCGGCAGAGGGGCTGAATGCCCCACAGCCCAGCCTGAGTTTCCTCCCCCTTGCAAGCTGCAGTCCCCTCCCCCAGCCGCTTTTCTGCTCTGGTCGCACCCAACCAGAGCCGGGTTCTGTCCCTTGGCTAGGGGATGGCTGGGTTGCATTATTTAGCTTGTCATCCACTATAACCCCTAGATCCCTTTCTGCCGGACTCCTTCCTCAACAGTCGCTTCCCGTTCTGTGTGTGTGAAACTGACTGTTCCTTCCTAAGTGGAGCACTTTGCATTTGTCCTTATTAAACTTCATCCTGTTTACCTCAGATCACTTCTCCAGTTTGTCCAGATCAGTTTGAATTATGACCCTATCCTCCAGAGCAGTCACAACCCCTCCCAGCTTGGTATCATCTGCAAACTTAATAAGCGTACTTTCTATACCAATATCTAAATCGTTGATGAATATATTGAACAGAACTGGTCCCAAAGTAGACCCCTGTGAAACCCCACTTGTTATCCCTTTCCAGCAGGATTAGAAACCATTAATTACTACTCTCTGACAACGGTTATCCAGCTAATTATGCATCCACCTTATAGTAACCCCATCTAAGTTGTATTTGTCTAGTTTATCAATAAGAATATCATGCGAGACCGTATCAAACACCTCACTAAAGTCTAGGTATATGACATCCACCGCTTCTCCCTTATCCACAAGGCTCTTTATCCTACCAAAGAAAGCTATCAGATTGGTTTGACGTGATTTGTTCTTTACAAATCCAGGCTGGCTGTTCCCTATCACCTTATTATCTTCCAGGTATTTGCAGATGATTTCCTTAATTACTTGCTCCATTACCTTCCCTGGCACAGAAGTTAAACTGACTGGTCTGTAGTTTCCTGGATTGTTCTTATTTCCTTTTTTATAGATGGGCGCTAGATTTGCCCTTTTCCAGTTTTCTGGAATCTCTCCTGTCTCCCATGATTTTCCAAAGATGATAGCTAGAGGCTCAGATACCTCCTCTAACAGCTCCTTGAGTATTCTAGGATGAATTTCATCAGGCCCTGGTGACCTGCAGGCATCTAACTTTTCTAGGTGATTTTTAACTTTTTCTTTTTTTTTATTTTACCTTCTAAAACTACCCCCTTCCCACTAGCATTCACTATGTTAGGTGTTCCTACAGACTTCTCCGTGAAGACTGAAACAAAGAAGTCATTGAGCATCTCTGCCATTTCCAAGTTTCCTGTTACTGTTTCTCCCTCCTCATTGACTAGTGGGCCTACCCTGTCCTTGGTCTTCCTCTTGCTTCTAATGTATTTATAAAATTAACAATCAGCCTACTCTGTCCTTGGTCTTCCTTTTGCTTCTAATGTATTTATAGAATATCTTCTTGTTTCCCTTCATGCCTGTAGCTCGTTTGAGCTCGTTTTGTGCCTTTGCCTTTTTAATCTTGCCCCTGCATTCCTGTGTTGTTTGCCTGCATTCATCCTTTGTCATTTGTCCTACTTTCCATTTTTTACAGGACTCCTTTTTGATTTTTAGATTGTCCAAGATCTCCTGGTTAAACGAAAGTGGCCTCTTGCCCGAATTTCTATCTTTCCTATGCAGCAGAATAGCTTGCTTTTGGATCCTTAATAATGTCCCTTTGAAAAACTGCCCACTCTCTTCACTTTTTTCCCCCCTAAATCTTGCTTCCCATGGGACCTCACCTACCGGCTCTCTGAGCTTACCACAATCTGCCTTTCTGAAATCTGTTATCTGTAAATCAGGTTAGAAACATTCTCCCTGAACCAGCATCTGCACTCACATCTCACATGGAGCACATGGCTTGAGTAGTTCTCAGCTTTGAACAGAGCCCTCCCACCCCTACTGGGAAGGGCTGAACCCCACGGCAGTGGGGATTTGGATTCGGTGGGTTTGTCGGGGATGAGACTGGAGGAGTTTGGGAAGGACAGGGAGAGCCTTGCCGGTTGGCACAAACTGTCCCCTGCACTGGGAGGACAGCAGCAGGAGTGGTTCCTAGTGGTTAGAGCAGGAGGCTGGGAGCCAGGACTGCTGGCCTCTCCCCAGTACTGGGAAGTGAGGGTATGTCTACACTACCCCGCTAGTTCAAACTAGCGGGGTAGTGTAGACATACCCTGCGTGAGGTCCAATGGCGGAAAAAACACCCAAATAGTTACTCGAGTAAAAGTCCTGATACTTCGAAATAAACGTAACTAAGCAAAAGTCCAAGTTTCCTTCTGGAAAACAACTTGAGTAAAAGTACAAAAGTATCACATCTTAATTGTACGGAAGCAGTGTTTCTCAACCAGTGGGATGAGTCTCCTCAGGGGTACTCGTGAGAAGACTGCGGGGTACGTCAACACAACAGAAATCTGGAGAAAACTGGATTTTTGTTTTAAGTTTTACCACACTTCAGTATTTTGGTACTTTTTATAACCCAACATTTCCTCAAATTTGTGTGTCTGAAAACTGTAGGCACTGGGGGAGGGGGGTCTTACATTTTATTTTTTTGAAAAAGGGGTACTTTATACAAAAAAAGGTTGAGAAACTGATCTAGTGCAGCCTACAGTAAAAATATGCTTCTTAGAAGCATCTTTCTGATTTATTATAGGGCACCCGAATTATCATTTCAGTCCAGGGCCACTGATCTACAGAAAAATTGGTCCCGGGCCACACAAGTGAGAGGGAATTCCCCCTCCAAATAAAAACCTACAAAACCCTCACTCATGTGGCCTCCAGCGGAGATACCTCACTCCCCTGGGGCTCGAGCACAAAGATGGGGAAGAGGAGAAGAGGAGGAAGGGAAGACCAAGCTTCAGGGACAATTTACACTTTTGGGGTCCCAGAGTTAGTAGGATTTGTGAGCTTCCGCAAGCTTTGGGATGAGGCCAAAATGAGGGGACCAGTGTGCGGGACGGATTGTCAGGGGGTGGGATTGGAATGGGGGTTTGGTGGGAGGGAGCTGCAGGAGTTGGCTATGGGTGGGGGCAGGAGAGCTGGGCAGGAGGGATGGAGGTGCGGGGACTGGCTATGAGGAGAGAGGCCTAAGGGAACGGTCAACGAAGGCTTCCCTTGTCCACA